CAAAATTTATTAAAATGAAATAACTACTGATATTTAAAAATCAAAATAATTATGGGATAATTAGCTACAATTAAAAACTTACATGTTGTTCTAATACAACAGTTGATACGAAATAGTCGAAATATACATATATTGTACAATTAAACGAGAATAATTAATAATAAAGTTATATTTACTTACATTTAAAATCAAATAATTATGGGATAATTATATAGACAATAAAACGTACCTGTTATAGTAATACGACAGATAATATGTAATAGTAGAAATAATACAACAGATTATATAAATAATACGTAATTAATAATACAACGTATTATACAAAAATGTATGTAATAATAATAAGAATATCACGTATTATTCAAAATGATACGTAATAGTATCAGTAACACAATGGATAAATTCTAGAAATATTTACTGCACTAAATAAATTTATAAATATTTAAATCTTTTAAATAAATATAAAACTTAGATTTTAAATCATAAAAAATTGTAAAAATTTGAGAAAAAATATAAATACTCTTTTAAAAATCATAGTTAAATATTTTAAAATACTAAAAAATTATTTTAACTAATATCAAAATGCATGGTCCTTATAATGTACGACGTCAGATTTGTCACAGGCCGTGAGCATGGTATCGAGGTACATGCACGACCCAGGGAAGGGTCATTGGGAGGCCATGAAGTAAATTCTACGGTATGTTAAAGGCACTGTGGATGTTGATTTGATTTTTTAGAAAGATAAGAAGAATGTGCAGGATTATATTGGCTATGTGGTTTCAGATTATGCGGGGGACCTTGACAAGCACCGGTCTACTTCAGGTTATGTGTTTACATTGGCAGGAGCACCGGTATGTTGGAGATGTATACTTCAGTCTACAGTGGCTCTCTCTCTCTCTCTCTCTCTCTCTCTCTCTCTCTCTCTCTCTCTCTCTCTCTCTCTCTCTACTACAGAGGCAGAGTATATGGCGTTAACTGAAGCTGTTAAAGAGGCTTTGTAGTTATATGGATTGTTGGAGGACTTGGGGATTGCACAGGAGACCCTTCGGGTATATTGTGATAGCATGCCGGCTATGTATTTGGCGAAGAACCAAGTTTATCATGCATTCATGAAGCATATTGATGTCAGATTCCATTTTGTTCGTGATATTTTGGATGATGGAGACATCATAGTAGAGAAGATCCACACGAAGTATAACCCTACGGATATGTTGACCAAAGTTATTTCAGGTGTAAAATTTGGTCATTGTTTGAAGATATTGAACATTCTTCAATATTGAGGGCCTTTGGAGACCATTTGGGTGAATTACGTTATGCTTGATTGCTTGGGCAAGAGGATACGTAGACAGTCTTTTCGATGCAGCCAGTTGGATTTGTTGATTTCGATGGGGGGAGATTGTTTAAGCTCTCTTTTAGGTTCCTGACTTGTTGTGGATTGAGTCCTATGTCGTGGGTTGTTTCCACTTTGTCTTGGACGCAACAAGTGGGATATTTGGATGCTTTAGTGTCGGCTCGGTTTTGGAAGAAACTTCATTGAGGTGGAGATTTGTAGAAGTGGGCAAACATTTGAAGAAACAAATCAGAAAAACAGGCTGGAAGATTGTCGGTCGACCGTGAGATCAGCTGCGGTCGACCGGAAACGTGCATGTAGCCTGGGAGGTCTCTAGACTTTTGGCGGTCGACCGTAGTGTCAGGTCCGGTCGACCGACCAAACCTTGTAGGATTTTTTGTTTCTGCCATTGCCTTGCATAGCGAGTCTGGGCTGGGTTTTGGGTTTTCAACCCGTTTCGTTTGCTGTTTGTATAAAACCCTAAAGTTGATTAATTAGGGTTAAGAAATGACGTTTTGAGCAGTCTTTGAGAGAGGATTGTTGTATCCAATTGTGGGAGATTGTGAGAGATTTATTGAGCTTTGTTTTAGGATTTTGAGTGATTTTGTAACCCTATTTTGTATTCTCTTCATCTCTAATAGTAAGACCCCCCTGCTAATGCCCCATGGACGTAGGCAACTTGTTGAACCAAGTAAAATTCATTGTCTTGATGTGATTATGATTTGTGCTTGTGTTTAGTTGTGATCTACCTCGTTCTTGTTCGTGTGATTAGAGTTCCGTTGTGCACAACACATGTCCCCTAGATTTTTTGATTCTTCTATGGCTACAACCATAAAATAAAATTTTGGATCCAAAGAGCAAAAAATCTTTTCCATGACATGAACATCGGTTAGCTCTTCTCCATTTCTTCTTATTTTATTCACAACTACCATAACTCTTGAAAAATAATCCAAAAGTAATTCAAAATCTTTCATTTTTTTCGTTTTCAAACTCACCCTTTAAAGTCTAAAGATGAATTCTTTGTATCTTCTCCGCACCCTTGCTTCCAAAGGATATATCTGATGCTTCCTTGGATGTTTTTGCAAAGGCGATTATCTCGAAGGTTGCTTCATCAACAGCTTGATGGATGGTGGTGAGCGCCTTCTTGTCTCCTCTTCTTACAGCTTTAAGTTTCTCCCTATTCTATTTGTTTAGACTCAGCTTAACTTGCGGTGTCGCCGGCTCGGTGTAGCCGTCCTTTACAATCTCCAACTCTTCCAATGCTCCAACTCTTTAATAGGCGTTTTGGGGAGAAAGCTGCCATAATTGCAGCTTTCCACCCCCTCCCCGAGGCAAAATACTCAAAACAAACAGCCCCTAACCATCAGTTGCCATAGTCTCTTTTTTTTAAATAACTTGGGAGTTTGGGATTGAAAACAATCTTTTGAGGTCATGCCTAAGAGGGTTTTTTTTTAAATGACGCTGATACCAATATGTAGAATTTAGAGGATATAAAAAGCTAAATTAAAGAGGAATATGGGCTACGAGTATATAAATAATATTTCATTGTTGAATATTTTTTCTTCATATCTCAAATGACTACATAACATGTCTTTATATAGAACTAGGACACCTTTAATATATTAATAATATTAATTCTCATTCTCATAACCCCCATGCAAATAATAACAATTTATTCAACATAATTCCCTCCTATTTGTAACTGCTATAATCATTATGAAAGTTACTAGTTTCTCAATCAAGATTAATTTCTAGCAGTACATTGAAGTGATTACTCCTGGATGCGCTTCTCTATCATGAATACTAGTAAAATCCCTAAGACATCGAACATCTAACATACACAAGAGATATTTCTGATGACATCTGGTTTTCGTTTAGATTAAATTACATTAAACCCCCAAAAATTTTCACATTTTGTAGGAAATCCCAATAATTTTCAAAATCTCACCGAATCCCTGATAGATTTTACATTTTACAAAAAAGAATCCTAATGTGTTTCTGTATTTTGCAAATAGCCCCCATAAATTGAACCAAAAAACATTAGACAATGGCACTTTGTAAGTTGTTGGGGCTTCAGATTAATTTACGCAAAAGATATTGCGGGTTTTCTTCAAAAATTATTAGGGGTTTAGTACTATTTTTGAAGTTATTAGGGTTTTGCTACAAAATGCTGAAAGTTCTTGGGGGTTTAATGTAATTTACCATTTTCTTAATTCATAACTAAGGAATAGTTCTGATTGTTATTGTCGTCAACTTTTTCATCTTTTTAATCATAATCTTTTTTTTTTAAGTCTCCTCACGCTTTGAAAATATATGATCGTATCAATTTTGGTTCTGGATACTTGATATCTATTGGATTACACCTAAAATTAAGAGAAATATAAGTTGGATAAAATTTATAATGCCTAACTAAATTGTTTTACAATATAGTACATTATGTATATCTAACTTGCTGTGTACTTGTGTAGCAAGAATGAATCTCTACGTTCACATGTTCTCTTGATTTCATGGTGTTATCAGAGCACCCCAACTTGTTGGCAAACCCGTTCATGTGGTCGGCGAAATTGCCAGTACAAAATGGATAGAGCAGAAGAGTAGGTGTCCTACTCAATGTGGGCTGCAAAATTAAAAGAAAGAAGCCTTCTTCAAACAATGTGTTGTGATATCGACAGAGGCGGAGGAGGAGGCGGCCGTGGCGGGGATCTATCAAATAATTGTTCAGCCAGGAGGGATAATCATCATCAATTGACCCTCTAATTTTGAATCAAGTATTGTACGCAGCTTCAAATTCTCTGCACACATCCGTAGTAAGTAGAGGATTCCTACATTATGTTCTCTATCTAGTAGTGTCTCTTCCTTCAGTGTACCACACAACTATAAAATATTTTGAATAATTCATGCAAACAAATATATTTCATGGAATTCAAAGAATACCAAGGATGTAGAAGATTAGTAGCCTGATGAGGAAAAAAATGCCCAGTCTGCGACGTTCAGTGTTGTGCCAGTACGTTTATTTTTATACCTAGGGTTTCTCTTATCATAGGCCAGCCAACTATAAAGCTTCAATTCTATGAAAGTTGTTAAATATTGTAAAGCTTCATTGTACTGCTAAGGTCTGATAGTAAGCATTTCAAGTTACTAAACAAAAATCAACAGTCTAGAATATATTCCATTGCAGTTCAAATAGCGTATCTTAGGTGAACCAAGGGCATCTCCATTCCTCAAAAGCTCATAAACAAATAGGGAGCTAAATATTACAACATGGCCTATAAAACTTGACATATCTCACCCAAAAATTAAATATATAAATAAATAATGGACATAATGATTGAGAAACTAGCAACAAATTATTACACATTTTCCTCAAGCAGCAGGTAATAACGGTCTAGAGAACATTCTAGTCTATAAAAAGAAGCACCCCCATTACTCAAAGCTCAAAGACATATAGGAAGCTCACTCTTACATAGAGCCTCATCAAGCATGGCATATCACCAAAAAATAAAAGGCACACATAATGATTAGAAAACTAGAACTAAATTATTTCAAGTTTTCCTTAAGCAGCAGGCTAATCTGTTCGGAGAACTTTTAGTCCAATTATAGGAACATCTCCATCACGCAACGCTCATCAAAACTCATATGCAGCAGGATAATCTGTCTAGAGAATGTTTAGTCCACTAAAAGGAGTATCCCCTTTACTCAAAGCTCAAAAACATATAGAAGCACAATAATGTAACGAGGCCTATGAAGTCAATAATGTAAAGAGGCCTATGAAGTATGACATATCTCACAACAAAAAGTACACATAATGTTTGGAAAACTAGCGGTAAATTATTACATATTTTTCTCAAGCAACTGGTTTAAATCTCTTTGAAGAACTTTTAGTCTAATAAAAGGAAACATTGAAAAGGAGACTTTTGTTGTTTTCCTTCTCGAAAGTCCTAACAATATCATCAATTTCGTCCTCCCAAGACTTTGCTGCTTCAAGCTGCAGAGTAAACATGAAACTCATTAGAATCTTGCTACATCAGACTGTAACGATGGAGACAGAACCTATTGTTTCAGATCAAAATCGATGCATTTTCTTATTCTCTATCCCAAAAGTGCAGTGGAGGATAAGTCCATTCAATTAGGTTGGGTGTCAATATATGTAGCAGCCGACAATTTGTAAGAAGGTAAAGGTACGATGATAAACTTTCATGATGTTAAGTTTATTAGAGGATTAAAGATAATAGAGTCTAACGCTAGGGACTTATTTAATACAACTTATGAGATTTGGGAATCTTTAAATATAAATGTCTTTGGGACAAATATCAGAAAACCCAAATTCTTAATGTTGACTCTAGTAGCTCACTTTTAAGCTTATTAAATATTTCACATAATATCCAGGTATCGGTCAGTACAAATGTAAATCAGCCAATCTGATCCAGCCAAATCTTATCGATATTGTAAAAATTGGAGAAAAGGAGGTTTGAGGTTCTAGATAACAAATTTTGATGTGATAGTGTTGTAGTGAACAAAAAGTAGAAAAAATAAAAGAAATCATTAAAATAAGAACTTGTAAATAACTTCGGCGTATTCCATACATTGATGAATTCAAAAATCAAACGACAGAAACTTTATTCCGATACCAATAAAGGTAGACCAAAACCATAATCAATACCAAAGTTTCAAACCTTGCATCCTTGTTTTATAGTTCAAGTTTTTTGATGCAAAATCATGATATGAAATTTAAGAGAGTTCACAAATGGAATATCAATATGTTCATATTTTCATCTTCAATCATACAATTATAACAGTAACAACAAAGACTATATCCCAATTTGTTGGGGTTGGCTATTTACATCCTATTTTTCGATGATTTTCCTAAGGAGGGCTATCTCTGTTACATTAATATTATCATACTTTCTTCATCTTCCAACTAAGTTCTTTAAGGCCTACCCCTCGTCCTCCTTGGCTGATTAATTATACTTATTATTTCATTTAACTGGTGAATTAAGTGCCAACTATTCTCTCTCACTTACCCTCAATAGAAGCAACCTCTAACCTCCTATGAATGTTTATCTTTTATTGTTTGCCCCAAGCAAAGATAAAAGAGAGTCGCATTAATTTATCGACAACCAGCATAACATATAATCGGATTGACATGATATGGATCCTACAAAACATTAAATTTCCAATCAAACAGAAAAAAAAATCCTATCTCGCCACCCACAATGTGCTCTCTCCCTGAGATGTCTCCGGACACAATCCATCTTATATGCCATCTTACCAAAGGATTTTCTTGATGAATATAAACTGGCCATGGAACATAATCATAGTTATGTATGATGATAAATCCAATAAAGCACATATCATTATATCAATACCATGAAAACATTCAAGATTTTAGTCCATCTGTCAACTTGTGAATTTAAAAAACCACAGTAGAATCTCATTCCAGTTATACTGATTTTCTAAAACACCCATCCAGTTTTGTTCTCCGAGATGGAGATCCCTAATCAGAGGTTAAGTAAACCGATCAGAGTTCATTTTCTTCCATATCACTATTAGATGTTTCAAAAAATTCAGCACAGCTTGGTCCCAAAAAACTTATTGGAAATGGCTCTCTACGAAAATAATTATATGTTTACATATTAACAACTGAAACCTAACTTATGCGTTACATTTTATGTTTACATATTTGCTCTCAAAAAAGTTTACATTAAATTTTATATTCTGAAGTCACTCTTATGACACCAAATCAAGCGCTGCTATGGGCACATGTAGCAGATACACCAGCTACGTATACGAGCACAGGTGTGGAAGAGGGAAAATCAAATAAAAGGTAGGGTACATGATGCAGGGTATATTTACATAACCAAATCCAAAAAGTGAAAAAGATTTTATGAAGATTTTTATTTTTATTTTTCTTTTTAGTTGAGCTCTGTAGTTAGGATCTATGTAGCACGGACACGGATCCGACACGGCCATCCGACACGCCGACACGAGGCAAATCCTAAAAAATACATAGGATACGTGTGTTCGACACGTGTGTCCGACACGGACACGACACGGCTTCATGTTATGCGTGTCCGTGCTTCATAGGTTAGGATAGAGTTTTTGGTTGGAATTGACTTAGTTATTTTGTTAGGATGTTTTATTTAATGTTGCGTAGGATTTTATTTGTTCTTATCTTCTTATGACTTTATTACTCTTAGTTTATTCCTATAAATAGGGGTTGTCTTTCCTCATTTGAGAAGAGTGGAGAGAATAATTTTTGTGAGAAACTAGCATGTGAATGCAGCAAATATTAGGCATGTGAGCTGCCAGCATGCAAGGTGCCTCATGTGAGGCCCATCATTTGTATCTTATTTTTCTTTAAATGAAGAGTGCAATTTTGATATTTTTTTTATTTCTTTATCCAAATAATCGATCTCAACAGAGAGCTATGCTTTCATTCCGCATCAGTACATTTAATTAATAGAGACATATTTGTCGCCGCATGT